ACAGGCTCAGGGCCTTTTGTGACTGTCAAAATTGTGCATGTAAATGTTTGACTGTATAATTATACCCCTATTTTCTGTTTGCGTCTAGAATGTAAAACAGCACAGCAGCATATGAACGCTTTGCCGTGAATCCAGAAGCTACTGTTTGTTTGTCTGGCTACTTGAGTCTGACCTGTTTATTATGCAGTTTAAAGAGGAGAGGGAGGGACTTTGTTCTCCACCAGAATCATTCATGATGGATGGCTTTGATGTTTAGAGAAGAGTGGCAGGCTGAGACATGGAGTTACAGCAAAAGGATGTGTGTGAAAATAACATATTCCATACACGCTCAAAATCCGCAGAGAGCGCGATATTACACCATTGACCTCTGCATTGTGAATCAGGCACTACGCACAGTAAGAATCTGAGCATATTTCAAAAATATTGATTCTATATACACTACAGAATAATAGTTTGAAAGCAACTTGAGTGTCTTTCATACACCCTTGAAAGAGTGTATTCCATTTCGGGATACATTGACTTAACTACTGCTAAATATATGTTAATGTAAGGACTTAGTCGTAGGTTTTAGAAGCTTGCAAGAGTGATGATTCCAGTCCATATTTAAAATTGTTACAAAAAAATGGGGCGTGCTTTGGTGGTGCAGTGGTTAGCGCGCATGACCCATGCACAGAGCCCTTAGTCCATGACGTGGCTGACCCAGGTTTGAATCAGGCCTGTGGTCTTTTGCCACATGTTTCTCCCCCTCTTTTGTTTCCCCTTTCCTCTCAGCCTACTTTGCATTAACGAGCCACTAGCGCCACGAAAAAAAAAAAAAAAACTTGTTTTATGGATTTTACTAACATTGGCCATTTCTAATGAGTATTAAATGGCTCAAGCTCCATTGTTTCAAGAACCAACATGCAGGATTAAAAAAACTGAACATCAAATGTTAGAGTTTTAATTCAATTTCATTGGGGCTTGCTTTAAATGGGTTTCTAAGAGCTGCAATATTGTCTAATGCTTAAATAGTTTGAGATTAATGAAACTTCTGTTTTATACATGACATCACAAAAACACAAATTTTAAGGCTTTTTTTGGCAACAAGACAGCCTGAAAAGAAACAAGATATGTCAGCTGAGCCCTTATCCGGGCCAATTGGGTTTAGGTGGCTAATTGAATCACTTATCGTCTTGGTGGTTGATAATGCCCCGTTTAACACCTTCCATTTTGAAAGTCAGTCAATGACCAGTCATGGTCTCATTCTTATTTCCTCGTCATGCCCATGGCGCCATCGTATCATTAATTTTCCTCGTCTGACGAGGCGTCAGGATCAAACATAGCAGTAGCAGGACCTGTTCTTCGACTGGACTTTGTTCGTCTTCCATTGAAATACCCTCAATTGTCAAGGGTTCATAGAGCAATAATCCCAGAAACAGGGACTTTATAATGGCAGGGAACAATGTTGAAAAAACCCTGTAACCTACGGATTCAAGGGGCTTATTGCTTGTATAAAATGGTTACCTACATGTTGCCTGAATAAAGACAAATAAACATACCTACGCACAAAAACGAAAATATATTTGGTAATAATGAAACAATACAACTGATACAAAGTTTTCCCATCACTGAGCGAACAGCGTGGTTACCAAGCAACCTAGGTTCTCTGTCATCAAGGATATCTGGGCTCATTAGTGTTTGAGACTTGAGTTGCTACGGTCAATCGGCAATGCTAAGTAATTGGCCAATTAAATATGATCAACCATGACTGCAACCGGATGATCATTTCATGCGTCTGTCGATGCGGTTTCATTTAGTTTTTGTCTGAGCAGACATGCATATTTCTCCTGCACTTGGTACATGTATGTGAGCAGCAGAACCGGGACAAGGTGGCAAGCTGTGTCCCCTGATGTAGTGGAGGAACCATCTTAGCTTAGCTTAGTGGGAGAGAGGAGGACCGCAGAGGTAGAGCAGAGAAGCCTGCCAGGCAAACTGATCACTGAATGTGGCACAGAGGCTATCGTTGGCCTGGGCTATAGAAGCTAACTGTGAAGGAAACTAAGGAGGATGGTAAGATTAGTTGAGTCACTGGGCAAACAGAAGGCTGAAGGTGGGGAAGAGGGGCTGCGGCTGGACAGGAGGAGGAGGACAGCTGTGCATCAGAGAAGCCTGTCATGGAGACAGAGCAGGAAGAGGCAGCAGCTGGCTTAAGCTATTTCCAGGTGGATCATCTAAATAAATGGTCCTCCTAATTGTCAATCATTCTGGTGATATGTTTACGTAAGGACGTCTTACGTGCTTGTCCCCAGTTAACTATCTTTTTTTGCGCATGCGCACTTCTGCGGTTCTTTCAAGATGGCTGAGGGTCATAAGAAAAAAAGTGTCTTCAAAGTGTATAAAAAGAAAAGAAAGGCCTCAGAAGAGGCAGATATATCCCTGAACGATTTGCTGTCACAGCGGCCCGCTGTCGCCATAGGCTGTTGCTACCCGACAGAAGCAACTTATAAGAATGCGCAAGCACCGCGCAGTGGAGGAGGAGTTACGTGACCAACTGAGCAAAAAGCAATGATCATCTGTCCGAATGTTCAGTTAACTGAGTCCACTATAAAGTCCACTATATAGTGCCTGCTCTATATAGTAATGCATGCTTTATACTGTGCATGTTCTTGCACGCGTTTAAACCGAAAATCAAACATGTTTGAAATAAAAGTGTAGAGGAAGGTCATTTCAGAAATTCTCGAAAATCCTCCACAATACCTTTAAATAAAAAAAAAAAAGCTTTTTTAAGAGCTACCCTCAAAACTCTTAAGAGCATTCCTTATTTTATATTTTGTCAAGATTTTTTTCTTCTATCTTCCATTTTGATCATGATACCTACTCATTTCCTTATTTTACTCTTAAGAATACAAAGTTGATATACATGAGACAACATTGTTAGAGATCTATGGATTTGATGCTTGAATCACTGATCAGCAGATGACTTATTTTTGCAATGGACGAGACCAGCAGTGGGAAGTGTTATTGCTGTGTTGCTGCGATTACTGAAGATGCTCTTAATGGTGCTATGCCTATAGACACTGGTGCATATTTTTTTGCTGCAGTCTGTGTTTGCGTCACACTGTATTTTACAATAATTATGGAATGCGCCATTCTCCTGGAGGTACGCCACATTTCTGGGTTTGGTATGAGCAAAGTAACAGAAATGACAAAAGAGCGTTTTTCTTTTAAAAAATGCTATATTTTTAATCATTATTTAAAATTCTACAGACGCTGATATATTTTTGAAAAAAGACAGGTGAGCACTTCCTATTAATGTCTACCCAATCTAAAACCTTTTGGGCTGAAGTCTTCAACATTAAAGAAACATGTAGAGAATTTGCTTTTGGTTGTAGGCTGTAGCGCATTAGTTCTTTTTTATGGGATGTTCGGTATAAATTGTGTTGCTTCACTGCAGGTTTTGAAAGTTTCCCTGCTTTAGCACAGCTGATTATGATGATTGCAGTTGAGCAAAAGCCTGTTAATCAGCTTTTCAATTAAAATCTGCTGTGCTGGAGCAAGGAAACCTTTAAAACCTGCAGGACAGCGACCTTCGAGGACCAACTTTGGGGATGCCTGATCTAAATACTTGACAGTAGCCTGTTTGCTTCAAATAGGAATAGGCTAAGATATGCTTTGAAGAAGCAGGTACAGAGAATAAACAAAAGGAACTGCTATCTGTTCAATGTGTCTGATGAGCTAAACAAGGAATATCAATGCAGAACCAAATTCTTAGATAGCCTTGGTCACTGTTAAACTTTAAAAAAATCCCTTTGATGCACGAGATAAAAAACACATTCTTCCATCAAATCTTTGATACACCACCAGCTTTTTAGAAAAAAAAAACCCTAATCATTATACTCTCTTGCCCTGTCCTAAATAACCTCATTGGCTTCCCCAAAGGCCCCACCCTCCAGGACCCTAGAGCCCAATAAGCAGCCATCTGTAGACAACCTCTCTCACCATGCTCCAGCAAACACTGGCAGAAGGTGGCTGAATGTTTGTGTTCAGGAGGCAAAAGGAGAGGTGAATGCAGTTCAAGGGTACAAGAGCAGTCCCCTTCAATTCCCTCAAACCCCCCCAATTCTGCTTTTATTAAAAGACCTACAGAGCACAACCTTCACACACGCACGAGAAGTTTTTGATGGCCAGCTACACCCAAGCCTCCCTTCCAGAGGCCCGATCCGTCAACCAGTGTGGCTGGCTAGGTGGGGTGGAGGTGGCGGGGAATCTGGGGGGCACTGGAGCTGTCCTCTGATGCTCCTGCAGACCTGCCTGCTCATCCATCCTCTCCTGCCAGCCCACAGATCGATAGCACTGCTCTCTTAATCAGGTCTCTGGTGACTGTGGGCGGATGTACGAGCGTCTGTCTGTTTTTGTGGACCACAGCCTGCATCAGCTGGGGATTGCACTTCTGTATCTTTCCATCTTGAGCTCTCTGCCCATTCATCATGACACGACTGTTTATCTCAGCTTGATTTTTTAGAATGTTTGTTGCTCTTTCTGTTCCGCTTTGTCACCAAGTTCACTTTGCATTACTTATTGGAAACTCTTTGAATCTTTTCCACCACACCCTTGACTTCTATCAAGTTTCTTGTTAGCACTTAATTCTCCAGTTTATAGTTCCTTCTCCTCTAGCTGCAGTTTCTGTCAACTCCTCCCCCAGAACACACACACACAAACACACACTGGCAGCGTGCCACAGCTCATTCATGAGGATTTTGGCAGCTGAGGTGATCCGTGTGCTGCTACAATCAGTTTTGACTTGTGATGAAGAGAGCAGAGGCAAAGTATTGGATAAATTGAGAAGAGAGAGGGATGAGAGGTGAGAAGAGCGAGTGGGGTGAGAGGGTTAGTCAGATGGAGTGTAGGGCATCCAGCTGTGGTGTTTTGCTATGCTGGAGAAGCTGCCTTCAAGCTCTCTTCACACCTGCGTAGCTGCAGCAGCAGACGCAAACACAAACCCTTTTAAGTAACAAGCTTAACATTATGCAAATGAGATAAATTGTTGATTAAAAAAAGTCTGTAAAGTTTTTAAAATGAAAATTTTTTTTATTTTCAGATTTTTTTTCACTTTTGCAGGAATTAAAGTGCAAAATTTGTTCAATGCATAGAAGGACAAAGGCTTTTTTCTTAGCAATGATTTGATAAAAATCACAAATTTCTGTTTAGACTCCCTTTTGTCCTTCTAAACCTCCAATCCCAAAAGTCTCAACTCATAAAGCTACAAAAACTTGTGCTTTATTTGGTTATTAACACAAAAGTCTATAGTTATTTACATAGGAGACCTTGTTTCTGAGGTCCTTTGCTATATTGATTCTATGGAAAGTATGTGATGTTAAATGGAGCATGACCCGTTATAGTAATACTTACCAAAAGAATCTAATGCAAAAGTTTAATTTTCTGAACATGGAAGATTTATACTAATTCATGTCATTGTATGATGCAAAAAGCATAAAACACAGCACCTTGGAAAGGAACTCGTACCTCTTGAACTTTCAGGAATTCGGCCACAATACAATTTAAAACCTCTTCATAATTTACAGGGATTTTTACACCAAAATCTCAGAGTAGTGAATCACTGCAAAATGGAAGAAAAAAATGAAATAAAACACTGAAAAGTGAGGCCTGTAGTTGTATTTAGTCAATTTTTCTTGGGCACTTCTAAAGATCTAAAGAATATCGCATGTGCAATAATTTCAAAACAAATGAAGCTGTTCTGAAAAGGTCTGAGAAGTCTGTAGCATCATAAAGAACAAGATACGCAGCAGACAGGTCAGGGTGAAAACTATGAAGTAGTTCAAACAGAACTAGATTGTAAAACAAAATCTCAAGGTTTAGAATATCTCACAGAGCACTGCTCAGTCTGTCCTTAAAAACTGTCAGCACAACTACCAGCAATGGCTGTCTGCCTTAAACATCTGAGCAAAATAGGGAGAAAAGTGCTTAATTAAAAAAACATCACAGTTTATTTCACGGTAGAAGGTGGTGGCAGCATCATGCTGTGGGGAAGCTTCAACTTAGGACAAGCTGGTCAGCGTTAAACAAGGTTAAAGCCTTTTAAAGGCTAAAACTGGGGGAGAGGCACAGAAGGCCTGAATAAATCCATCCAAGATTGTGTTGTTATGGCATACGAGAAATATAATTTTTTTAGTAAATACTATAGTTTCTACAGTTTCATAAAAATAAAAACTACTGAAAACTCTTTTTTGTGAGCAGAGTTCAGTTTAGAGAAGCAGAAATCATCTTTTCTATAATAAACTCTTCGGTTTGTAATTTGAAGCAGAACTCACAATAAAATCTTTTCAACAGCTCGGCACATTACAAAAATATTTGCAAGCAGACTTGACATTTTCTTCTTCTTTTTCCTTCATGGAATCCCTATTCCTGCCTCATTAAGGAGTTTAGACTTTATTTGGTTTCATCAAAGTAAGTCTTTCAAACAGCAGCTGAACAGATTTGCCTCTGAAGTTGTGTTTAGGTTACAAAGAATGTTTATCCCTCGTTTCAGTTTCTTTTCAGTACAATAATGTGAAAGGTCTGTCTGAACTGGGAGGAAAGAAAAAGAGAAATATCCTGGAGGAGCGGCACACTTGAAGAAACACTCTGGCTTTTCCAAATATCAAAGCCATCCAGTCACGGAAAGAAGTGTCGCAGAAGGTCCTTCTTGTTGACTTTTCCCATCTGATTCCTCGGCATTTCCTCCACGAGGACCAGACCTGTCGGAATGATGTAGGGCGCCATGTGCTCCCTGCAATAAACAAGATGACTTAAACACTCAACACTATTTGGGGGTAAAAATGCAAAAAGAATAAACAGTCATGAAAACATGCATACCGCTGATGAATGACTGGATGAGGGCACACACTAATGCATCATCAAAACAACAAATAAAAAATGAAAACAATTGCCCAAACAAAGGCTTGCCCTATGGCAGAGTAGCTGAGATTAGGAAAGAAACGTCCTTCATGCTCGCTGCAGCTCTCTTCTTTAATATCCCCAATTTGCCCCCAGACACAAACAATTCGCTTCATACAAAGCTACATAATCAAAACGAGATGAAAAAAAAAAAAAAAAAACAAGTAATAAAGAGAAAAACAGAAGGCTGCACTAATTAAAAGAGTTTTATTTTTGAGGTTTTCACTGGTTGGTTGTTGCGTCAAGTCTTTAAGCCTGAAGCAGTTTTATTATCTTCTAACCTAGTTTGTTTGTTTGTTTCTGTGAGTGTGTTGCTGTTGTCTGAGTGAACATAATGAGTCATATGGCTGCCATCAAACCCTCTTTCTAGCAGATGTTTCCGTCTGTCTGACTCAGGGAGGGGAGTCTGTGCATGTTTGCATGCATACATGTCTCTGTAACATGGCTTGCTCGTGTCACCAGTTTCTTCAGGGCAGCCTGTGTGGAGGGTAGCGTGGAGCACAGAGGGTGTGATACAGATTCAGAGTGACAGTTAAAGCCAGGGCACTGAAGAGTGAGCATCCATCTCCTTGTTTATGTCTCATTTTATCTGCCTCCATCTCCTCCACACTCTCGACTCGGCAGCGCGTTGGCACTGCCAGTCCGCCGGCAGGACCCCCGGCCGCGAATGCTACGCCGCGTGCATGTTTGCTGTTCAGCCTGAACGTGTCAACCTGGGTCATCGGCGGCGGTGGTAATCTACCAGACTGGAGCAGCAGGATCTAACATCTACACTCCGTATGGAGCCGTCAGTCTGGACTAACCTGAGCTTGTAAAAAAGTCAAAGAGGAAATGGCATGGATAGGGAGCTTTTACAGCAAGAATATAGATTATAAAGAGAGTAGAGTAGGGAAAGGGAAGACTATGATACTGCAAAGACACACGATTGACGGTATAATCTATCATTACTTGCAGTCAGAGGCTAACAAGCAAGAACATTCTTTATCAAAGAGGACAAGCAAATCATAAACCCATTCAACTTCTTTACTTGTTGTCACATTAAAAGATTTAATGTAATTCATGATGTTTTTCTTAAGAGGCACAAGGCTTTGTGAGATTGTGAGTGAAGGGAACGTAAATGCTTCAAAGTTTTCAACAACTTTTTAAAAGTGTGGAGTGCATTATCTTTACCCCCCCAACCCTGAACATTTTAAAACCACCTTTTGCAGCAGCTACAGCTTGTTTTTTTTAAACTAATTTTTCATCCGCAAACTAGCAGTATTTAGCTCCATCTATATTTCCTGCAGTTTTAACTAGTTTTCCTGTCCCTTCCAAGGAAAACTGTTATGGTTTGAATTGAAATTAATTTTCTTAATTGTCAAGCTACAAAGCACAACGAAATAAGTTCCAGAACACCCATCCAGTAAAACAACAGACATGAGGGGGCAGGTTTATGCATAGAGGGAAATGAGGACAAAAAATTAAATCTTACACGGTTTTGATACGGCACGATGTTAGGTTGCCAAAACACCTGGTTAATGGACACAGAAATCAAATCAAATCAAATTTATTTGTATAGCCCTTTACAATAGCCAAATGGTACCCAAAGTGCTTTACAACAAAGCCAAAAACAATACATAACACATATAAAACATACAAATACAATTAAAAATGCTGTAGTGGTGAAGCGCTGCAGGACATTAAAAGCCTTCCAGAGGTGCATAGAAGGGAGCACACAGAAAGAGGACATCTAAGAGACAGTATAATCCTGGTCAGAATTAGATGCCAATTCAAAAAAGTGGGTTTTAAGCTTTTTTTAAAGGGCTGAGGTCAGTAGTGGTGCGAATGTCAGGGGGTAGTTTGTTCCACAGTCTGGGAGCAGCGATGGCAAAAGAACGATCGCCACACTGTTTGAGTCTTGACTAGGGAACTCTAACAGAAGGTGACCCGAGGAGCATAAAGCTCCACAATTGGGAAAGCATTAAACTGGACTTCTAATGGATTTTACAATCTTTTATAAATATAAAATATTATTGAAAAGCACAAATATAGCAGTCCAGTGAACAGATTCCCCCACCTGAGCTCTGCAGCTCCTCCAGAGTTCCAGTTAGTCTTTTGGTTGTTGCTCTGATTAAAGCCCTTCTTCACCGCCTAGTTCAGATAGACACATGTTTTTAGGTCTGCAGTTTTATTCTTTAAAGAATGGACTGAGTGCTGCTCTGTGAGATATTCAGAGGATGTTACCAAACTCTACCACAGTCCGTTCCACACCTGTGTTTCTGTTGTCTTCCTTGGGCGTTAGAGTCTGATTTGTTTAATATAGTTCTCTAACAAAACCTCTGAAATTTTTAGGCAACAGCTGCACATATGCTATGATAATAATCACACAGGTGGGTGTCTAAAGAAAGTCGGTGTCCAGCAGTTTTACCTAGAAGCATCAAGTTAAAGGGGGAAAGGGAAACTTATCTATAAATCATGTAGCATTTTCACTCAACCTCACAATGTTAGAGTATAACAGCTTAATAACGACTGAACAGTCAGTGAACTGTACTCAACTCTACACAATAAACGCATTCAATCATATTTTTAACTATAACGGAGCAATTATTGCTGATCATGAGACCAACGATTGGAACAAACGATTAAAAGCAGCAAAAGCAACAATTCCAATCATACAGATTTGTAAACATCATCAAAATGAGCCTTATCTTGATTTGATTAGAATGGGTAATTCTTATTATAATGACTTATTTTCACTGAAACAATAAATTACACGACTGATCATTCTAAAGTGAGGATGAGGAAATTGATCAACATGATCAAAACAAACAGAGTTGGAGTGGAAGGCGGTATGCCAGGGGCTCCAATCAGCTTCAGACAAAACAAGCCACTCTGACATTTAGAAGAGGAGGAGAAAATGCTAAAAAAAAAAAAGCTTAACAACAGCTGTCTGCCTCCATTTTCACTTCCTTCACTTTCCAATGACCACAGGTTTCTTTTTCTTGCACATGATTTTTTTTTTAAATAAATCTAAGAACTTCAGGGGCAGAAGATTGGATCTTTGAGCTGCTCTAGTCAGAGACACATTGTTTGTATTAGTAGAGCTTGTTTGGTTTCCATTAAAATACAGCAGAGAATCGCATTAAAACACACCTCTGTAACACTGGGAGGTGGAGTTTGTTGCAGGCTTGGGATGATGGATTGGTCACTAGTTATTTGGGTCACAGTCTCCTCTGGCGGTACAAGTCTGAGTCAAACTGAGGCCATGAGAAACTTTGAAAGGGAGCATTTTGTTACCTTTCAAGGTGCTGATTACTGAAAAACTCCCAAACCTCCAATGGTGTTCTCCCAGTCAAGAAATCTAAGCATCTAAATACAGAAATACGATGCAGGAAATGCTGATTTATGGAGTGTTTTTGTTTGTTTGTCATCGTCCAGATTCTTTAAAAAATGAAACAGATAAGATGTCAGCGTTTGAGCTTCATACTCAGATATTTTCATTTGGACTTCTTTTTCCAACCAGTGATCATAATTAGGTTCTTAACTCTGATTTTTTATTTTTTTTTTACCAGATAAAATAGTTCTACATATGCGGTCTCTTTGTTTTTTGTCTCAAACTTGAGCATGAAAAAGAATCTCCATCCCTTAAACTTAACTCTGCTGCAACTATTATTGTTGAAGCCTGTCCTCAAGTTTTACATCTAGATTATTTTATTAAATTTAATTTCTGGAAATGTGTATGATTTAAAAGGAATATTTTATTCTTAAGCTCGGTGACAAAGAGCCAATGACAACCCTGAAGCCTAAGAAGAGAATAATCTACCTGAGCCACAACTTTACTGTGACTCTGAAGGTCTGTAAATATTTTATAAACTATAAAACTTGAATAGTAAACAATAGGCAGCATCCATACCATCAGACTGAACATATTACCTTGCCCAGGTCTTTAATTCTGGTAGAGTCATACTCTGGCCTTTCCTCAGCTGAACAACAGCAGTGACCTTTTGACCCCATGTAGCGTCTGGTTCGCCGATCACAGCAACATCTGTCATACAAATGAATAAATAATATAAATGGTGATTTATTGAATTTATTCACAAAATCAGAATTAAACAGAAAAGTTGGAGAATTATTTGATAAACTCTAAATTAGTCCTCTAAGTTAATGAAATGACTTTAAGAAATACAAATATAAGAAAAAATGCCATGTTATGTAAACATTTTCATGAGAGACCTGGAACGATGGAGATCTAAATATTAAAGTAGCCACTAGTAACTTCATGAACAAAACTTGAGAGGATATACATTTGTGATAGTTGAAAACAAAGATTCGCTACAAAAATAAAATAGTTTATAGATATACCGATATTGTTGCTTTAAGTTTGACAGATACCAATATCGAACCAATACGGTATCAGCTCCAATGATACATACTTTTATTACTTAATTTGTGTGTGGGATGTTAGAAAAAGCTTAATCAGGGACTTTACTTAAAAAAAAAAAAACAAGTGTTGATGGCAATAGTTAGGAGAAAACTGACCCCTGTGCTACGAACCACAGATTAACTTTAAATAGAAGCAGAGTTTTCATATTAGCAAACAAATATCTAAGATTATAGTTGAAGGCCGATATAATCTGAGTTCCGCCTCATATCAAATCTATATCTAATATCAATATTGGATCGGGACATCCCTACTCAGAATCAGCTCCTCTTTACCAAGTCCATGGTTCTCAACCAGAAAAAGGCCCCGTTTAGGTTGGAGGAGAGTTCCTGCCTCAAGGGGAGGAGTTCAAGGATCGTGGAGTCCTGTTCATAAATGAGGGGAGGATTGAGCGATAGGCAGATTGGTGCAGCTCCTGCTGTAATGTGGACGCCACAATGGTCTGTCTTGGAGAGCCGATTGAAAAGGCAAAGTTCTTGATTAAGAGGTCGATCTATGTCCCTAACGTCACCCATGGTCATGAAATCTGGATCATGACCAAATAAACGAGATCCTAGATACAAGCGGCTGAAATGAGCTTCCTCTGCAGGGTTGGCTGGGTTCTCCCTTAGAGGTAGGGAGAAGGAGCTCAGTCATCCAGGAGAGACCTGAAGAAAAGCCGCTTCTCCTCCAAATTGAGGGGAGCCAACTGAGGGGGCTTGGACATTTTGGCTTTGGACACCAGGATGAGGCCCATTGGACAAACCAAGACACCATGAAGGGACTATGTCTCTTAGCTGGCTTGGGAGCAACTCAGGCTTCCCCCAGCAGTGCTGGAGGAATTCTCTGCGAAGAGGGAAGTCTGGGAGTCTCTGCTGCCCTAACCAGTCCCTAAAAGTATATATATATATATATATATATATATATATATATATATATATATATATATATATATATATTCTAAGTATTTCTATCCTTGGAGTCTAACTATACTGTAGATGTTCACCAAAGGTACTGACAAATATCCATAACAAAGGAAATTGATTTAGTAATTTGATTATGGAGAAAAAATGTAAAATTAAATAACATATGATGAGGATTAGATCAAATCTAAATGTTTACAGTTAAAAGCAAAGATTTAAGATTGACCTTTTGGTAAAGATGGAGCAGAAGTCAGATTTTTCCAATCCTGTTTAAGAAAGTTATTTTGAAAGAATTTTCCAGAGCTTTAAAATAACAGCTAGATGTTTCTTTTGAGCTTCCTCTCTACATGTTCTTACTAATTTTACACTAAAGACGTCAAATTAGAGCTGTACAATAAATACAATTGCAACTTTGATGTATTATATCAAACCCCAAAAACCACTTAGATTCATTATTTGCCTCAATATTGTACTTTAAGTGTAAAGCAATCACTCCCTGCAAACAGATCCGTCTGTTGCAGCTGATTTTAGCAGTTTAAAGCATTAGGTGCCTTCTTTCAAAACTTATGGGGTTATTCATAGTTGCTATTATCATCATAGTTACCTTTAGAAATATAAATACATTTATAAAATAAAGTAAATTAGTAACGGAAACACTATGGATTGCACAGATGATGCCTTTTTTTGCCCATTTTCTCATTATGTAAAAACAGGATAACCAGCACATATAAACTAAGTAGTAAAGCTACCTGCGTAGGTAGTTTGCAAAAGATCCCTACGGAGTGTCAGCTGTATTTATTTAATAAACATATGGTTAGAAAGCTTACTTTCAGACAGCTGACCAACAGTGTGCAGTAAATAGTTTGGGACAACACAGAAAAAGTTAAATCAAAGAGGTACTTGCCAAGGATGTCTGGATGAGCCAATAGGTGTCGCTCCACCTCAAGGGCGCTGATCTTATAACCGCCACTCTTAATAATGTCAACACTGCTGCGGCCCAAGATCCAGTACACGCCATCTCTGTAGGCTGCTGTGTCTCCTAAAACAGAAACACATCCATGCATATAGACACAGGATGGCAGTTTAAGGGAGCTAAAATCATTTGCTTGGAGACAAGTTGATGTGAGAGACAGATGGATTTCTCCTTCCTGTATAAAAAACTATTTTAAATTCAAATTCGACTGTCCAATCTTTTCTTAAAAAATTATGTTGCTTTTAAAAGAAACATATCTTGGCTATGCTTGAAACAGAACCCCAGTGTTTAAACAGCTTTAATCAGCTTTTGGCTTCACTGAGCCCAGGGAATTATGTGACTCAGGGTAAAGCATCTTCCTACAAATACACTGAATTCAAGAAACAAGCAGCGCCTATAAATAGTGTAAATATAGGAAAGCCAGAGGTGCACCTTTGTATAAGGAAGTGGTTGTGTGTGTGTGAGGCAGAGAAAGCCAGAGTGCAGCAAATGGATGAGTGTTTAAGATCCCCTGACATCCTCCAGATGCACACACACATAGGTGTCTGGGGGCCAGGTGTAGTGAAAGTAAAGTATGTGGGATAAGGGACGCAGCTGGGTCTGGGGAAGACAACAGGCGGAAGTGGGTCAGTATGGATGAGTGGAGAGCCAGGAAAGGAGAGAAAAATGGGCAGAGGTGGCGATGAAAAAAAAAAGATGGAATGAGAAGATGTCCTTTAAGGTTATTACAGGTGCTGCTTTCAGGTCAGCTGGTACGAGGAGGATAGATGTGATAGAGGCATGGCGTTGGGGATAAGAGGAGAGGAGGAGGTGAGAGCTGGACAGAGCAGCCACCATGTAGGACCAAAGCTGCAGCTTTACACTCGATCCCCAAGAAGATGTGCGAAGGAGAAAAACTCCAGATCCCACTTCCTACAGTTAAGCTTACTTCTGTGTATAAAGAAGCACTACATAATGAACAAAAATCACCATCGCTACATTACTTTGTTCACCATTTTTAGTCACAAAAGTCTGCTTTGATAAGAGACAGACCAATCCAGTTTGTTCCAATCCAGATATCTGGGCTGAACGTATCGGCCGATACTGATCTGATTCGACTGGTGATTGAACTCTTGCCATGTAACTGAAGGCTTTAGACTCAACATTAACATTGTTAAACAAAGGTAACATTTAAACAAATGTATAAATTTACTTTATATTATTTACTAACAATTAAGCAGTAAATAAAAGAGATAACAGTTCTATGTAAAGTGCACTGGATTGGATCTCGATATTAAATCGATCCAGCTAATAAGTCAATATTAGGGCCAAGATCCGATCCAGGTATCGCATCAGTGCATCTCTACTGTAGTTCTGATGTCACTTTTGCTACATTATAACCCATCAGGGGTCACAGACTAAAACCTTATAGCGATTTTTTTGCTAATTTAAATAGACTTTGTATTTATTGCAGTGCAACTTTTATATATTTATTGTAAATATTTTAATTAACCAGACATTATTCGGACTGTCATATATTGTCATATATTGTATATGAATACACGCCCTAGTGGCTTTGTGTTAGAATAACAAATAAAAGTGTAAATTGAGAGAGGTGAGATGATTCTGCACATAAATGGAATAAATTCACGCAACTTTCGTTCAAAATATAAGCCTATTAACAAAAATTATTCTGCTCCAGGTCAAACATATTTCAATTAAAAACTCGTGACTAAAAACTAGTGAAATTGAACTAAACTAAGACACTATGAGCAAAGATGAAGCAAAAACATGGTTGAAAACCCTTTCACAGTTTAGGATGCATTTTGTGTTTGAGAACCAAAGTTTATCTTGAAGAATTTGGGATGTGATTAAATTAGCTTTTCATTAATTCAGAACGACTGGAATGTTTTCAGACCATTCCGTAAAAGTAAAAAAAAAATCCACTGGATTTGGTTTCCAAGATTTGAAGACTTAGCCACCTCTCCAGGAAGCTTTCTCAATTCAAATGTATGGATCTGCAATGAGTTTCAGTCTTTATATAGACAAGGCCTTGTATTATTTGGAAACATGCAAATGGAAACGGATGAGTGGGTCGTTGGTCTAAATAAGACTCAAACTCACTGAAGATCCAGACATTTGAATTGAGAAAGCTTCCTGGAGAGGTGGCGAAACGTCTTAAAATCTTGAAAACCAAGTCCAGTGGATATTTTTGAACTTTTACGCAATGACTATGACCTGGATGACTGAGAATCTTCATCAGCATGTTTTCAGACCAATTAAGAAATCCAAATCCATGAGGTTCAAGGCAAACCTCTGTGGGAGGTGTCCTTTGGAGTAATATGGGCGGTAGGTTTGCAGAAGTTTTGAGGACAGCAGCACTGTGGATCAGAAGGGCAACTTCTACTCCAGTGAACATTGGTCTTCAATGTCCAAAATGATTATCATGGTTTACGGCCCAACATAAGCAAAAACTCACAGCTAACATATATGGTGAACATTAGTGACAATGAACATAAAACCCAGGGAGGACATCAGTAATACGGAAAGGAAAAACAATAGAATGGGAAATATGTGTCCTGCATGAAGCAAGTATCTAAAACGTCTTTCCGTATTCGGTATCAGAGCTTAGAGGTGTCAAACTCTAAAGAAGTAGTGTCCTGCACCCTTTAGTTGTGTTTGTGCTATAACACACCTGAATCATATAATTAGGGCATAAGCAGGGCTCTGGAGCACTACGCTGCAGACTGAGGAGATGATTCAGCCATTTGATTCAGTTGTGATTGATTGGGGTTTTATCTAACAGTTGCAGGACATCAGGACACTTGAGTTTGACGCCACATGTCTCTATCAGTCAGAGCTCTGTGCAGAGTCCAAGCTCTCCAACAATGAAGGAAAGCACAGGAGGTTTAGATTTCTCATGGACACCATCCTTTGAGGTTTAGGGGGAAATGGAAGGATTTTCCCAGGGACACCTAAATTTTAATGAAGCGACTGAAAAGTGTCGCTGATGTCCAAATTTTCCTCTTAACCTCTATGACAAAGTCTCCAAATAAAGGAAGAGGATAAAGTAGATGAATGGTTACACAAATATATCCCAATCTTTCTATTTTTTATTTTTATTTTATTTTTTTTGCACATGTAATACCTGTATTGCATACATTTTGAGTAAAAAAAATACAGTCTCAGAAAATGTAATTACTTCTTCAAAATGATATGAGTTAGATAAGGAACGGTTTTATGTTCCCTGTTTTTACTATAGTTTAATGAAAAGCCTAGACTCACAATGATCTCTAGATTAACGTCTTAATTTTCATTAGAAGCAAACACGATGTAATATGATCATTTTATCTATAGCAATATTTTTTTGAAAAGCTTAATTACCTTCAAAGTATGAAAGCTACCAAGTTCTTCCATTATCAAAAGATTCTATAACACCATTTTTACTTCTTCAATCTAAGCATGATAGTGATGGTGACAGATTTTTTTCAAAGTAACAGACCACTCCTTTGCAGTCTAACAATGAAATATTGAGCCAATAAGATAACGAAGCACTTGGAATAAAATTGAATTTGATCTGTCGTGCAGTTGGTGTCACTGAATGTTTAACCTATTTGTATTTAGTGTAGATTCCTCTATCAATCCTACCTATCAGCATCATCGTCAGTCTGACTCACTTCCTCTTACGCACACCCAGACACACAAACCTTTTTTTCACTTCTAGTCTCATTCTTACACTTCATTTTTACCCCTCTACATCTCAAACATCTCTCAGACCCCTGTCTTCTGCTCTCCCCCCATCCCCCCTTTTTGCTGCTCCACCTCAGCATCAATACAGGACCCATCTGTTCCCATACATCATGCACTTCATTTCAGTTTATTAGCTGGGATAAATCATAAATATTTCATTATACATCACGGGCGGCTGTCGCCAGCACACCGACAATTTATCACCACTGCCCTCTCTGCCGGCTTGCCACGGCGGCTATAAGCTTTCCAGTCTATTAAACAAGATTGATACAGTGTGTAAATTTAGATATTGGGAATTTCTTCACAGACCACTGCTTCGCAGTGATATGCTTGGGTAAGGGGAGCGGGAGGATGGGAGAAGATGGGAGGAGCCGGTCGGGTATTAACACTACTATCGGTCTAGTTACAGTTGCTTCCATGCTTAAATGAGGGGTAAAAAAAACAAAAAAAAAACACAGAAGACTAATTTGGTTAAAGCTGTAGAACTGTCTAATAATATACAAATATATACAAGGAGATGATGTTTTTACATGTAAAGTTAAAAAAACCCAGTGTGTCCTGTGTGTAAGGGGTCCAACTTGCTTCAAAGGGAATAAAACTGCATCTATAAAGCAAAACAGAAAAACAAAATGGAGTGAAGGACTAAAACAGGACTCTTTGACCTTGTCTCTTTGAGGAGAGTGAAAAAAAAATAATGTTTGGAGAGACATACAAGTGGGAAAAGCATTTGGAGAAGGCAGACTGATAAAAGAGGAAAAAGAAGAGCGGGAAAGCGACTTTTAGGATCTGTTATTGGGATACTGGGACGTATACACATACATGCTGTATGTACACGCAACCACACACACACACACACACACACACACACACAATCACCACTTCAGGCATCACAGTCTCTGCCATTATGTGTTATGGCGTCTGAGGCTGATATGGCCGAATGGCTTTCTTAATTAAAACGATAAGAAGCCTAATTGCACTGGGCTTTCATCTCATTCTGAGGCATTAAAGAAAGCGAAGGCTCACAGTGAGGGGAAAATAAAGAAATAAAAACAGATCAAGAATTTAACTGAAGACGGAGGGCAAGGAAAACTTTGTGATGTCTTTCAGAGAGCAGAGGAATTACACCCGGTTGGCTTCTTGAGAAATGTCCTCAGTTACAGTTCGAGCGAAACAGCAGAAAATCACTGCTGAAATACTTCAAGTCATGATTTCTGTTTTTACCATCAAGAAAAATTATTTATATTTCTAAAGAAATGCTTTAACAGCTGGGGAATTCAACATCTCTAACAAAAACAGATGACCTTCATGCCGTTAATATTATAAAAAACTCTAAATTG